TTCTTAGACATATCTGTCCCTGCTCTTGCTTTGACTCTGGTTGTGCCTGAGTGACAGGAGGGGGTTGGGGAGATGGTGGGGAGCAGGGGTAGGCAAAATGCAGTCTGTGGGCTGGATGCAGCCTGCCAGGCCATTCTATCTGGCCTGTGGAGTCCCTAAAATATTTAGAAAAATTAATATTTATCTGCCCCTGGCTGCCTGTCACATGGCCCTTGATGGCTTGCCAAAACTCAGTAAGTGGCCCTCCACCCAAAATGTGGAGCATAGTCCAGGTGGGATTTGGGTACAAATTTGAAGTGTATTGTGAGCTGCAGTGTGTAATGTGGTGCTCCACAGGAACAAAGCAGTGTTCAGTCTGCTGCCTAAATTAGGTAATTGTTGCCTAAATTGGTGTTTCATTAAGTGTCAAACTCAGTGGTACAAGGATGATTGTTGGAAGAGCAGATACTACAACAGCCTGGGTCTGACTGCCTACAGCACTGGAAGCTGTGAAGTCCATTGGCCTGCTTTCCAAGCTACAGCCGTGTCTAGTTACCTGCCAGTAGAACATTTGACAAACTTCAGTTTCTCTTACCCTTAAGCACCATGCCCTGAAAGAGGCTTTTTCCCCTATGAACATGAGGCATTGTTTAAAGGAGCTCTACATCAGTCAGGTGATCTGAACTTGGGAAGCGAGGCAAGGTTCGGGTTCATGCACTATCTGCTTTTCCCCACTGTTACGTGCCCGCCCCCCCTTGAGTGTGACCTCCAGGGGTCTCGTGAGCACTGCTCTCATGTGACTTGGAACAGGCACTGCTCAAGCCTTTTTGGCAGAGGGGCTTTCTCAGGGATTGTAAGTTCTGGCCATGGACAACAACAAATGCACTGACAAGGACTGAACATAAGAAATTGGGCACCCATATGGAGAAAGGAGAGGTTTTTAGGAACATATAGGAGGTTTTTAGGGGCTGAACTACTTTGAAAAGGTATGTGTTCTATGTAATGCCCACTGCTCTTGATGTAGGATGAATGTCTTAGCCCTGAGAGCTGTAGTCTGTCTCCTCTGGTTTCTAAAATGCTGTCTAGTATCTCATAAAAATGTGTCATCTGAGTAGCAGCAAGCACTCCCTTGGCCCCCCTTCTCTTCCCTCCTACTCAGAGTACAGTATCGGAGTTGGCTGGGGCTCTGGCAAACATCAGCTACAGTCCCATGGGTGCTGTTCAAGCAGCAGTATAGAGCCTTCTAACCCACATTCTTATTCAGGCTTTTCCCATGGGAGGGAGTCCACCCTCTGTCACTGTCTCTGTCCTCCTCCTATCCATCAGGATAAGCGCTCATGATGCATCTGATAGTCCTGCTGACCTGCCAAGCCTCCAAGGGGAAACCCAACCCCTTGATAAATTATTGAAGCCCTGGAATGCGGCATGACTCTCTCCCACTTCGTGAGAGAGTGGCATTTGGCAAAAGATCGCCCTGCATTATTCATCACCATGTTGGCTTCCCTGCATGAAAACAAGCAGCAATGCTTAACTAGGCCAGAGCTGCATGAGAGACTTTTGAGGGGATAATGGGGAGAGCTGGAAAGGGGTGGGTATAAAATCACTTGACACTGACTGGGAGGGCTTCCTTTACTGCTTGGGTTCCAGTAAGTGATGTGGAGGGACTGAGGTCTAGTGGTGGGCTATTACTTATTCCTTGCTCATTCATGGGGAGTGTTTCTGGGGTGGAGGTGGGGCAGAAGACTTGGCACCTTGCTGTAGTGGCTAAACACTGTACTTGGCATAGCGTACCCAGACCCTATTGTGCTAGTCTCGTACATACAGAACAGGGTGGTGACACCCTGCCTCTGCCCTGCACACGCGCACTTGCTGTGCTTTTGTGCAGTAATTGAAAGATAATAGCACATCTCTTCCTCTGGGTCTTTCAAGTGACTGGAGAAGGATTTCAGATGGCAACACTTTGATCTGTAGAGCTGGATTGCTCTGAGCCAGAGTGAAGCAAGCATAGCTTACACCTTCCTCTACCCCTTCCCAGTGATTCCTTAGCCAGTGTGCATCTTGTGCTGAACAATACCAGTCCAGATGGGAGGGCGTTTCAGCAGGCTGCCCCCTCGTGAGGGGTGGGAAAGAGAAGCAAATAAAGACGGCCAGTTCAGCTATACGTGAACTATAGCCCCATGCCCTTGCATCTACTTAGCGGTATATTGGGCACTGCCTCTGAGCTTGGTAAGGGGTGTTGCAGCATTTTGGAAACTGGAAATAAAGGTCACTTGTGCAGGACCTTTCTGAGCGGTTGCAAGTCAGATGTTTGCTTGGCCTTCTCTCTGGTATAGCCTGGGTTTATATAGAGGCAAAGGTTACCGGCCGACACTGCTGTCTCACTAGGCAATACGTGGTTCATCTGTCTTTGGATGTGTGAACCAAAGGACTTAATTGTGTTTACACAGTGATTATTGGCTGTCTGTGGCCACGTGCCACAAATCATCTGATCTGCAAAGAGTGAGCTGGGAGACTGAGCTGTTTGCTTAAGGAAGCAGCAACAGCTCAGTATGTAGTAACGCTTAAATGCATCCCTTCCTTGGGGGGTGATTGGGCAAGGCCTGGGCAGTCCTTCAGCACCATGAAAACCGGTTTTCCCTGGGCTCTGGAGCTGAATGCTCTTGGAAGAGACTTGATGATCACATATCTGCCCAAGACCAACCTGAAAACCTATAAGCCACTTCAGAGAAACCTCTCAAACGCCGGCTGTATTAGAAGAGGTGTCTCTCAGGAGTGTATTGGAAATTAGTAAAAACTGGCACAGTACGGAGGTGGGGGGGAGCACTTTACTGTTCCCCAAGTGAAGCCATTTCACGGGTACCTAAAATGCTGTTAGCAGAGTAGAAGTTATGATTCCCTTCCTGTTTTTTGTGGGGGGGGGGAAGGGGTTGATAGGTGAACGCTCAAGAGTAGCTAGTTTTCGGCTGTTTAAAAGTTGCCATTAAGGTGTTTTGACACTTTAAAGCCTAGGATTAGGGAAGGTGCTGCTGGCTTAGCTGTGATTTGATTTTAGGCTGGCTAAGGTTCAGTCTTGTCTTCTGGTGGTCATTGGAATCCATAGCATGGACAGAAGCAGTGTTGTCAACACTGTTCCAGAGGAATAATGTAATTATTATTGTCTGTTTTTATTGTGGGTTTAATTTCCCTCCAGAAAACAGAAAATCACTTCACGGACAAATCCTCTCTGGCTCAAGTACTACTTCTGGTGCCCTTCAGAGGGGCCAACAGGCAGATAATGTGATGCTGTAATTTCCAGCACCAAACTGAGAATGGGCTGGTCTGGCCATTCTCAGTCTTCCCATTGAGTCCCTCCGACTGGGAAAATCAGCCAGTGTTTACATAAGTTCAGAAAATGCTCTGAGGTCCAGGGGGAGGAGAGCTGCAGCAGTGCCAGGTAGCACATCCTCCAAATCTAGGAACAAAATCCCCCCCAGAAAACAGCACAGCTGTTGCACACAGGGTTAAAAGGATACATTTACATTAAATTGTTTACTTTTAATTCCATCCAGGAAGAGCACACACCAACTGCTGCAGCTTCCTTAGCCTGACGAAGGGTTTTTGAACCCGAAAGCTTGCTTAATAACTATTCTCCAACCATTTGGGTTGGTCTAATAAAAGATATCAAATTCACCCAAGGAACCTGGTCTGCCTATGTCCTTAGACCAACACAGCTACAACCTAAACCCCTGTTTGCATTAAATTGTAATTCTGTTGCAGAACCCAATACCTTGTCCCCCAACAAGTAACACAGTAGCTCTAGAAAGTAAAGACTTAAAAAGCAGTCTGCCTTGGCAGCGGAGGGTCTAAGACTGATGAAATTGTTCTAACCTTGAAGGGCAGAAGGAGATGGGGAGCAGGGAAGAAATATTGGGAGTTTCTTTTGTTTTTGCTGCTCACTGTCTCCATCTGGTTTGGAAAGTGGTGGCTTAACTGTTCTGGTGATTTCAGTATCTCTGGCAGCACTTGACAAGTTCTCGAATCTAGCATGATCCAAATTCAGCAGGTCTTGCTGTAAGCAGACCTGTAGCGTTTGCATCTCTGACATCTTGGACATAGTAACACAACTCCAAAAGACTTGTTTGCCCATGTTCCCACATCACATGCTGTTACCTTGCTTTAGTGTATGCATTATACAGAGCTGTTCTAACTGTGTCTCTGTCTGGATCTTGTAGAGAACTGAGGGTTGCCAGCCTTTCAAAAGTAGCAGCAAGCACAACATCAGGATGCCCTCTCCACCCCCCCGTTATCCCATCAAATACTGTCCCTTTGCAAGCAGAGTTGGGAAAAGGCAGGATTCTTATTGTGCTTATTGGCTTCTTATTGGATTTCTGATCTCCCTGCACCTGACTGTACCAAGCACTTGCAATGTTTCAATAGCAGTACGGGATTCTGATCCCCCAGTGGGTGCACTGGGGTGAGGGGTCACTAGCCAGTCACATGAGGAGTATCTAGAAGGACAGACTTGGAGAATTGCTAGACAGGCTGTGGTATAATAGCTGAGCAATCAAGCATCTGGCAGCAGAACATAACATTTTTGCTTTCTGCAGTTCCTAAACTATTTTTCCTGTGTAGGTAGGGATGCTCTGTGTTCTAGTGGCTGGTAAATCTCAGTGGAGCAGGTGCAGGTTGAAGGAAGTTGGCATCTTTGAGGAAAGGGGCGTTTAATCTGGAGGGCAGTGACTTGCATGGAAGAATGCAGTATCTGTGCCACAAGCAGAGGTATCAGATGTCAGCAGTCTGAAACAAAAGACTTGGCTCATTAAAGCAAGTAGCATAGCTCCGAGTGAGACTTGAACTAGGTTCTGTTTTCAGCTTGTACAGCAGGACACTATAATGGGTAGCTCCCTTCCCCACTTCATGGTAAGGTGCTTGGAGACCTTCTGAGAAGATGCACTAGAGATGCTCCCCAACTTCTTATGCCTGGGTAGCTTGTTGCAATATTGTCTTGATGAGATGGCTTATAATGACTCTCTCCTCCGCAGTTTACTGAGGAAAAGCTGGGCCAAGCTGAGAAGACTGAACTAGATGCACACTTTGAAAACCTTCTGGCCAGGGCAGACAGCACCAAGAACTGGACCGAGAAGATTTTGCGTCAGACTGAAGTCTTGCTACAGCCAAACCCGAGTAAGTGCTGATTCTTCTGTGCTGGTTGGGGATGCTAGTGCCCTATTTAGGCCACAGCAGCAGTGAGGCAATACAAATCCTCTCCCCACCCCAATCGGTGATCCCTGCTCAACTTGGCTCTGGGGAGAAATCAATAGCCTGATGCTTGCAAAGCTGGGACCTCTCTTCCTGGGGAGAGGAAGAAGATGGAATTGGTCAGTATTCTGGCTCCTACTCGATACCTCACATCTGCCTTGTGCATGGAGCATAGGAAATGACAGAAAAGGATACAGTTAATTTTATTCTCATATCAATTCTTGCTGACTAAATTTGGTCTAGACTTCTGTGAAGACTCTTAGGGCTAGCTTGGTGGGCAGACGGGGTCTGCACGTTCAGCATTTGGTAGTTTGGGGTGTTCTTATTCCAGGTGCCAGAGTGGAAGAATTCCTCTATGAGAAACTAGACCGGAAGGTCCCATCTCGGGTCACCAATGGGGAGCTGCTGGCCCAGTACATGTTGGAGGCAGCCAATGACTTTGGGCCAGGGACTCCCTATGGTAAGTCTTTGCATTAAGATGCTGCTTGCTTGCTACTGTGCCTGTTTAGTTCTTGTAGATCTAATTTGAGTCACTAGAGGGGGAAAACTGTTCTAGGGACCCACTACTGGGGGGTTGGTCCAGTTAAAAGGGATCGCCTTGTCTGATCCTCTGCAGGATCATCCCTTGTGAAACCAAACCATTGAGGGGAAGCTTTTCTCAGCCACTTCTGTAAACTGGCTAGGCCAAAGCTTCCTAGAGCACCAATTGATTGCTTTTCAAAGGCTCCAGCTAGAATTTAAATCATGACACCTTTTAAGACACCAAAATCTCCCCCTCACCCTGAGGCAGGATATTTGCTGTGTCAAAAGTTGCTTTGACTCTGATTTGAATGGAGGGTCCTTTAGATGTACCACAGCACTCACCACTGTGTAGTCATGATGGCCCACCCCAGAGGCCATGCCTTCTGCCCTCTCCTTCAGCTTTTGCTTCTAAGAGCTAACAGAGTACCCTAAGCCTGCCAGAGGAATCAGTCTGACCTTTTTAGTAGCAGCCTCTCAAAGTTGATACCAACTTCCAGCTCTTGCTGCTCACCCTGCAAGTTCTGGGTCTTATAACTACCCTCTAAATCAATGGCTTATTCAATAGCTGGTCCTGTCACAGCCAGAATTGCTGTGATTTGTACCATCCTGGCTAGAACTGGGGTCTGATCAGGGCAATTGGCTGGCTTTATCTGCTCTGGTGCTTTTTAATCTAGTGTTCTGTTCCTTCTCATCTATTACAGCCCTGAGTCTATCTAATGATCTCTATAATACTTCTGTCAGACTGTGGGTTGCATCACATGTTACTTGGCAGGCCTAGCAGTGAAGGGGGGACTGCAGTGAAGTAAGTGCATCAGCAGACGCATAAGATCAAAGCAGCAGTAAGACACTGAGTTAGAGGCTTTAAACACAAGGTGGACTGCAGCTGGTATAGTGCTGAGGGCAAGGCTTGCCCCTTTCTTGAATAGGCTTGGCTTGGCTGCCAAGCAAGCAGTGGGGCGTGACTGCCTTTGTCAGCTGTGCTAGCAGGCACCTAGACATCGGAATGCACTGAGCCTGAAAAATGTACTGTGGCAGAGCACTGAGCTAAACAGTACCAGGCAAGTGGGCTAAAGTCCAAGCAGGATTGCTCACATGCCTGTCAGCTAAAAGCCTTTCCCATCTGGTTCTTGTCCCTTGTAGGAAAGACCCTTATCAAAGTGGGAGAGACCCAGAGGCGGCTGGGAGCAGCTGAACGAGACTTCATCCACTCTTCCTCCATCAACTTCCTGACTCCTTTGCGCAACTTCTTGGAAGGGGATTGGCGAACTATCTCTGTAAGTTGGGGGGAGGAGGGGAAAGAAGGAGAAATGAATCGGTCTTCTCATGATTCTCCAAATTCTTCCCCTTGGGAAACGTGCATCTCTAAATGAGACTAGGGAACCCTTCCAAACTTAAAACAGTTCTGCTAAAGGCAGGGGGAAGAAGACTCCAGAGTTTCTAGCTTCTCACCCCAGCTGTCATGGGTTCTGCTTTTCAGTTTGGAGAAGGAAAGAAAGCTTCCCCTTTACCTCCTTCCTGAAGGCTAGTTGATCACTTTCCATTACTTATAGCCTAGTTGGCATTTCCAGCCAGGCTTCAAGCTCCCCCTGAGCCTCTCGGAGACTGATCTGTATCCTTGGTGCTGCTGGGTCCAGAGCTTCTGCCAGCAGTGTAAGTACATTAGCCATGTTCTGTCTGCACTTGGAATAAAGTTATGGAGCATATGATGTCTGTCGCCAAAAAGGTTTTTCTGCCCAAGCCCTGTATTTCCACATGCTCTCTTCATACCCTCTTCCCCCTCAACCTTCCTTCCCTTCCAGAAAGAGAGGAGAATCCTGCAGAACCGTCGTCTGGATCTGGATGTCTCCAAGGCCAGGTTGAAGAAAGCCAAGGCAGCTGAGGCAAAAGCAGCGGTAACTTGCCCAATTCCCTTCCTTTCTTCTGCTTGCTAGGTCTTGCCTGGCATGTCTGAAAGGGGTGATGAGTGGCTTCATGACGTCAAATCAGTCTTGCATTGCTGTCTCCACTGGATCTCTGGGAGGAGGGGGTGGGGATGGCAGTCCTCCCTCACAAGTGGAGGGAGGAACTCCTCTTTGGAAATGAACTAACTTCAGGGCACCTGTTGACTGTAGGAGGCACATGCCTGCTTCATGAATACAGCCCCACTGGGGAAGGTGGGAGTGGTTGGGATATATCTTTTGCTGCTAAAGTCTGTGAACTGGCATGCGAGACCCTGCTTTCCAACTAGCTGACAAAGGTTCCCAGCTGTTCTGAGATTGGCTGAGATCAGGGTGGAGCTTGTGCTACTAACTACATAGTCTTCAGAAGACAGTTTTCTAATGAGAAATGTCTAAAACAATGTTCAGGGTCAGGAAAGCAATAGTCTTGATTAATTGCTTCTTTGGCTACTCAAGTTGTCTAGATGAAGATGCAGCAACAATGTCAAGCATAAGTCTAGCAGTGAAAAGAGCAAGCTGGCCCCTCTCGTATCACCACCTTTACTCAAAAGCATGGAGTTTAAGCTTTGTTCACAAGTCTGGTTCCAGAATCTGGGTTTGAAGTAGGGAGCCAAAGAGATGGGGCTTAGCTCAACAGGACCCTCCTGCATGAGCTTCAGATTTATACATGGTGAAGAGGGAGCCTTGCTCTGATTTCTGGACTGAGTAAATGGGACTGGAAGTGCTTCTAAACCATAACTCCTTTGATCAGAACTGTATCTAGGTAACCGGGTGTCTAAAGCACTAAGGTCTCTGCTATGCCAGGGTTCTCTTAGCCAGAAGGAAAAGCTAGCAAGAATGCAGCTGGGCTTCCTGGAATAATATCCTGTTTAAACAAGATACTGCAATCAAGAGGAAAGTAAAATCTAGATGCTAATGTATGGGCCACAACAATGTCAAGCCTTTAGGCTTGCACTAAGACTACTGACTTCTGCTAGTTAGCAACCAACTGGCTCCAATCAGAACAAGTTGGAATCTTTGTCAGCCTTCATGTACTACAGAATGCCAGACTGGGGCTCCTGGCATGCTCCATCATTCCAGCCACTAAAAGTGGTAGGGTGCTATTTTGTCTTAACGCTACCTAGATGAAGCACTCCCTGGGGGTTTTCATTCTCTTCCAACTCTAGTTCGTGTTATGGATTCCACCTTAAATGAGGAATATGGATAGCTGTTCTGATTTCTGTCCTTTTGGCCAGCAGGCCTGTCTGAAGCCTGGTGCAGAGCAAGTAGAGGGAGAAGAGCCTTAGGGCTGAAGGGGATTGATCCTGAGAGACTAGCAGGTGGTGACTTCCTGTGTACACTGTCCTGCCACTGGGCCTGTGGTTCCATCCAATGTGGAACAGTTCTTAGTTGCAGGAGAAATTGCCTTGCACTAGGGTTTTCTCCAGCTTCATCCACCCCGTCAAATGCCAGTTTTCCCCACACATGTTGGAGGGCTCTATTCCTGGGTTCCAGGAGGCAAATGGTGGCCTTTTCAATGTCAGTCTGTAGGAGACCAAAAATGTAACCGCCTCTGCCCCATGTCCTACTGGGCTTGGTACCAGGTTGCACCAGTTGCCAAACACTAACCCCTTCTTGCTTCCTGTCTTGATCTCTTGGCTGAGCATTATGGGCTGTCTTTCCCCCTTGGCCTTCAGTACAGGAGCTGCCCAGTGGCTGTATTGGTATAAATCCTGCAGAAGCACATGGTAACCCAATGCCCCTGGAAGGCTTGGCTTAGTTGCATTTCAACAGTTGTGCTGGCACACAGCACTGATCTAAGCTCTGAAGCTTCAGAATTACTGCTGCCTTTGAAGCACCCTAATCTTGAGTACTCCAGTCACAGCTGTGAGGACCGTAGTTCAGTGCCTGAACAGCAAAGCTGGTGTTTCCATGCATCTTCAACAACCTGTAGAAATGCAGCTATTTACATGGAATCCTGCTCCCTGGGAACACACCTCTTTAATGCAGATGAACAATCCTGGACCGGGTGACCCATGCTGGCATCCAAGTCCTTCAAAATCCTCATAGAACAACCTGACTCTTAACCGGACAGCTCATAAAGACCAATTCCCTGGACTTGGGAAAGAGGGCACTGTGGTGCGCTTCTGTGCCTGTTGCTACCAGAGTCAAGTCCCATACAGTAGATCGGAGCGGGCAGTTATTTTGGGCAGAGGGACGCTTACTTAGTCTCAGCAAGCCATCGAGGGCCGCATGACAGGCACCCCATGGGAGACTAATATTAAATTTTCGAAATTTTTTAGGGGCTCCGCGGGCCAGATAGAATGGTCTGGCAGTCCACATCTGGCCCCTGGGCTGCATTTTGCCCACCCCTGCAGTAGATGAACAGAAAATGTCAACACATGGGGTGGGGGGTGTTTATTTTGGACCCTATAGCTGGGTACATTAACAAATGTGATTATCTTAGAACAAGAGCTTAATTGTCTGTAAACACATTGATTCACAATTAGATATAATCATGTCATGCCCAACTGTTTTTAGTGTGATTACACTTGGGCTATGGTTGTCAGCATCTGGACAAGCTGATTCTAATCTCATTGCTTTCACTGGGACTCTAATCAAGTTTACTCTCTCTCCAGCCTTCGGTTCTCCCAGCTCACAGACACGTGCTAATGCCCCCCTCAGGGTAGTGAAGAATTTGTTTCTGCTTCTCATTTCCCTCGGCTTTTGTTTCTCCTGGTTGAGGCCAGTGCCTCCAAACCAGGGAGCTGCTGTTCTGTCTTGTGTGTGCATGTGTGTGTCCCATGAGCCTCTGGAGTTCTGTCCTTCACGTTGATGCTGTTTTGTTCACTAACCTTTCTGTTTTTTGTTTTTTTTGTAATTTGCTCAGTGTGAGGGAGATGTGAGTATTAACCATGTCAATAGTGCTGTGATGTCTTTCCCCAATGCCTCTCATTGTCCCCCCCCTCCCATTTAAACACAACCCGTCTGTCCACCATCAGCCCACATTCTGAAGGGCTTGTAGTTGACTGACAGGCCCCAAGATGTTGGAAACCTAGCTGTGTGCCTGCAGCCCTTTAGGAGCGTTCACTTGGTTTCCATTAGAGCCTCTTGCAAGCAGTGCTCAAAGGAGGCAGCATCCCATGTAAAGACCTGATCATGATCCTTGCCTCAAGGTGGAAGAAGGGTGGTTTTGGGGAATGAGGATCTCTCCTTGGGAAGGGCAGGATGGGACACTTGGAGACAATGACGGGCAGTGATTGAACCTGGTCTGCAGTGCTGTACTGTCCTTCTCAAGCCTCAGGGCTCTGCCCTCTCTTCCTGCCCACTACAAGATTGGAGGGTAGAAGTCCATTCAGCTTTCATAGCTTTCTGACCACTGCTTGCAAATGAAACCTGTGGGTGCACAGGGGTTCCAGGGCAGCTTGCCATGTACCAAAAGACCAATTCTGTGAGTCCAAGAAATGATCCTGGAGACCACAAGATACAGGTCCTTCTAACCTAAGGGCATCTATTTGCTATGGAGCGTTCCTCCTACCTTCTGTGGCTGGGCTTTGTCACCATGCATTACTTGAACACTTCATCAGCTGATGCATTTCTGTTCAGATTTTTTTTTCCAGCATAGGAAATGGTTTCCACTTCCCTGAAAAATGGGGAGGGAGGGAGGGAGAGGTTGGGGGTTAGGCTATAAATAATGCCTTCTCTGAGGCTGGCTGACTTCTCTTCCACCCAAAACTGGGCTTTTTCATAGCAGAGCTATTGGCAACATTCAGGCAGCAGTATAACAGCAGTACAAATTAGGCCAGCTCACTTAAGTAGATTTGGGTATTGCAGATTATAGCTTTCTGGCTGTGGTTCATGGGCTGAATCATGTGACAGGGTTGCATAGCAGTTCATTGTACTAGCAAAATGCACTAGGCCACATTTGGATGAGTTGTACTAGTACAAGCCCCTCCACTTCTAATTTAAACAAGTGGGCTGAATGTTAATGCTCCCCTGTAGGCAGACACCATTGCATGTATAAAAATGGCATCTGCTTTCCATCTAGATCCAAACCAAAGCTGTCCTATGACAAAGTGGTTAATAAGAACACAGCATGTGATTGGTTGGGTGGGGGGAGGACAGGGAGGGTAGCACTGGATCACACTTCCACCATCACAAATGGTGCTTCTGTCTACCATGTTCCATATGCTCATGACACAAGTATTTGCCACTGGCCCTTCCAAACCTGTCTGCCTCAGCAGCACGATTCAGCTATGAACAAGGTTGCTTGGCTATTTCTATGACTTTGTCTGAAGCATTTGCAGACACTCTACACAAGCTGCCTAGAGTCCTTTGTCAGCAAGGCTGTGGTCTGGATGGGCTGCTATGCATGATGAAGGGGACTTAGAGTTTCAAAGGCGGCAACACCACTCATGAGAAGAATGGAACAGAGGCTGTTGTGTAGAAACGTGCCCAAATGAGGGGAATGGAGCCAAGGGATGAGGCTGTATCTTGTCTCCGTCCCCATTCACTAGGAACTTGGGTAGATAAAGCACACTCCCTTGGAAACAATGCTGGATGCTAGAACAGTGTGCCCTTGCATGTTGTTGCTGTCCTGAGACTTAAACTGGCTGCCTATTCATCACTTATTACCTCTGAACCTTAAGCTGAAGGTAAAAAGGAGCAGTTGGTTTCAAGGTCACTTAAACTAGCCAGTCAGAGCAGGAGCAGGCAATTCGCATGACTAGGCATGAGCCTATATGGCAACAATGTGATTTGCAAGGTCTAGAAGTGGCTTAGCTGTCACCTGCCTGAGCTGCTCCAGAGTATAGATTAGGTCCTCAACTCTGGAAGACCTTTTTCCATCTGTTCCCTGTACCTGGGATATTACAGCCCTTTATGAATTGCACAAGATCCACTAGAAACAGTGGCAAGGGTAGGGGGAAGTGCTAACCCCTTCCCCCTCCACTGGGTTGGATTTCCATTGACTCTTCTGCATGACTTGTACATGAAACTCTATTCCCCCTCCCTAGGCTGTGCCTGACTTTCACGAGACTAGACCTCGTAATTTCGTTCTCTCCGCCAGCGCATCAGCGGTAAGACCACCTCATCCTCATCTAGCCATCTCGTTTCCAACTTTTCTCTCCACTTGACTTCAACTTGGACCCAGCGTTTTGCTGTTTTCAACATTTTAATGTGAAATGGGCTGCTCAGGAGCTCTCCTTTCCTACCCAACTTGCCCTCTGGTAGGAACAGGGATGCACTGCAAATAGACTAGGGACTCATAGTTGAAGATGACTGGAAGCATGGTATTTGGCCTACTCCTTTTCCTTCTCATTCATGCTCTTCCCAGCCCACGCTGGGAATTTTCTGCCAGTTTCTCAGTTCTTCTTAAAGCAGCTGGGAAGAAGGATAATACAGTTAGTCCAAAGGTGACTTTCTTAGACTTATTTAATCCATATTAGGGGTATAGTAGCATCCCTGGCTGGGTACAAGGTATATGACCAGTAGTCCAGTATCAGTGTTTGTGCTCTGAAGTTCAGGAGACTTCTAGTTGTGTTTGCCCCTGGTTTTATTGATGCTGTTTGAAGGGGCTTTGCCACCTGTGGCTTCAGTGATAGCAGGCCAGTGGTTGAGGCTTTTACCTTTATCTCTCTTCAATCTGGAGCTTCCTATGCTTTTTGGAAGTGAAGGAAAGGGTAGTGAGGGCAGCTGGTAGGATTCTGGTGTATAGATGATGCTGTTAAGTTGTGCTGGGGGTGGCTGTTGTGCATTGAGTGTCTGAACCATCAATTTTCAGTGCTGTGCTCATGGCTCGCCATTGCACGATGTCCCGTTCTCTCGTTAAAATGTTGAAAACTGACTGTCTTGCTTCCTGAACCACTTGTGAAACAACACTGATGTCTCTTGGGTTTAGAGTAGCCTGTGCCTGGGAAGATTGGAATAGCAGTATAGGTATGAAATGAGGAAGTCCAATGCACTGGATGGCAGTAACTTTCTGTAGTTAGCTGAATATACTTATGGGTCTCCCAAAAAGAAGAGAATGCATCTAGCCTGGTCACATCAGTGTTGGTTTCACAGGGATTCTGTCCTTGCCCTTTTAGATAATGATGCTGGTGATGCAGATGGCTTCATAGCTTTACTTTTTTTGATTTTTCCTGTGAAGCAGTTCCCAACAAAGGAGACTGCTCAGTAACTGTCTTGCTTTTAACAACCTATTACTGAGGAGACTGAGAAATTGCTGCAGTTAGTCTCCTCCAGAGTGGCACTTCCAATCCAATCTACAACTCTGGCTTTCTGGCTGGGAGATTAGACCATTCAAGGGCAGTGGGGATATTGCAGTAACACATTTGACTTGAGCCCTAGAAAAACAGGGAGAAAAGGATGGGGGGGAATAATGCTAGCTTCTTGTTGGCACTTTAAGGTTTCTGATCAGTCCAGGTTGGACTGAACACCCTTGCTGTCTCAAACGAAGACTGAAGAGTGAAAATGCTGGTAAGATGCAACTGTTCAATTTTTTTCCCTGGATTTCCAGGGCTCCTAGCCACACTAGAAGCTGTAACTACAGGTCAGTTGCCATATCCAAGGTTCAGCCAGCACTGACTTGGGGTGAGAGTGGAAGTTCAAGAGTAACTTGTCTGTAACTCCACTGACTCTGCAGGTGTTTGGCATAGCACAGGAATGGCTTTCCCTTCCAGTTCTTTTCCTCTAAAGTCATTTGGAGGCCCTGGGAATTGAGGCAGCATTAACTTGGAGTCTGTCTGGCTTGCCTCTTGGGTTTTGTGCTGTGGCAAATCCAAGCATGCCCTCCATCTACAAGAGCTCTGTACAATTTGCCCTTAATAGTACAGCTTCTCATGCAAATCTTGCCAGCTAGCTCCTATGGATCTCAACAGTATAAGGTTGGGATTTCCTTTTTCATGAAGTGCCCAACAAGGTTCTAGCTGCTTTATCTGTTCACAAATTTAGCCTCTCTGGTAGTGCTCAAAGGTGAATGGAGAAGAAGTGCCATCTTGGGTCCTGTCTCTGCTGGTTTGGGGACACTGCAGTGGCACCTCTTGGTGGGTTTGGCCACCAATGGTAGCTGAAGGGATGCAACTTGGTTCCCTCTTCCAATGCAGGCAGGACTCCCCTTTAATGGTAGAGTTTTTTTTTCTAGGTAGTCTGCAATGCCAGCATCCATCCCAAAGGGTCTGGCATCCCAGTGGGGAAGGAACCCTTCAGGCTGTCACTGTGTTCCTCTTCTAGCCCAAACTCCATGCTCCTTGGCTGGCTGGCTGGCTGTCTAACCTGATGGTAACCCTTTCACTCCTGTAGTTGTAGCTGCTAATCTTGCTTTTGCTGGGTTCCCCTTCCCCTCCCCCTCTTGGAAGGAGGGATTGTTACCACAAAGTAACTGCTCTTTGTGCAGGTGAGTGAGTGACAAACTGATCAGCCGGTTCATAGGCTGAGGTTGAGTGTTGTGTGTGTTTTGTTTTTTTTTTTTTTTTCTTCCCCTAACTACATTTTCTTTGGATGGGGTCAGATGCTATTCTAGTACTAGATGGACTAAGACATAGGTGGGTTTTTCCCTTTTGGGAAGGGTAGGGGGAGAAGGACTGGGATAGTACTTTTATGTCCTGTACAGTCTTATCTTACTGAGGTCATTCTAGAAATGGATGAACCTTTTGAAAACACATTTTTTTTTTTTTTCTTTCTTAACCTGCTCTTGTTCAGCTGCATGTGTTGATTCTGGCTGGGAGTTTAGAGCAAGGACTGGCTGCTCTTTGCCATAATGTGACCCAGAATAATATGGGTGCATAATCCAACATAGGTTTAAGTGGCTCCCTTCTTGGAGGGCCCTTGCATACCCACTTCCTCACCATGCTCTGCTTCTAGCATGGGCTCTAAGGAAAACCTATTGGGCAGCCCTGAGGAGGGGTCCTCTGGTTCTAGATGGACTTTTTCCTCTAATGTTAAGACTTTCAATGCAACAGCTTGGAGGGGGAGGGAAGAACGTTCCTTCCTTATTAGATAAGGATGGTTGGGGACGGCTGGAGATGTAGAATGCAACATGTTATCCTGGCTCTACCTGATGCTGTCCTGATGGCTCTAGGAGCATCAGATGAACTGTTGAGATTCTCTAAAATGAACCTGATTACATCTGTGGCTGTACAGATAGACCACATGGCCAGCCATGCACTTGAATGAGACTGCTGCAAAGGAGGGTAGATCCCAACGGATCTAGTCAGCAAGCTCAGCCCACTGTACTCCCCTGAGAAACCTGTATGGAAATGTAGGGTCAGCTAGGTGGCTAGGATCTTTGTAGCCCATTGGAAGGTGGAGGTGTGAACCCTCCTATTAACAAGAAGAGCATGGTTCTTGGACGGTCGTTTGTCTCAGAGGCTGAGGGAAAGGCTGTTTTGACTAAAGGCCTGTCCTGCTAGGAGTATCTGCATCTGTCTTGTGCTTGAAATAGATGTGGAAACTGATTGGCAAAAAGGGCTTGTCCTTATGGAAACAGTGCAAGGTAAAAGTTGGACACATGGCCAAGCCTTCTTAAAGCACACAAAGCTAAAGTAGTGTCCTAGGCCCTGTACTAAAAGGTGTACTTCTGGTTGTGGCACAGTTCAGGGGAGTGGATAACCCCAGGTATGGGCTGGAAGGGGGCCTGAAGTTTCAGGGACTTGAGAACTGTCGGCAAACAATACGATCTTTCAGTGCATGATTTAGTAATGAGCCATGTAGTATGAGTGCTGCTGTTTTCTATAAGAGCACTGCAGATCTGCAAAATGCAGTCTGGCTGGAGACCTCACTCTGGCTTTAACTTCTAAAATGGCCTGTGGTACTGCAAAAGGGAGGGGTGTGGTTCTTGCTGGCCAGGAAACATGGCTACATTACTTGACCTCTGTTCTACCCTAAGATGCCTTTCTTCCATCAAGGCAATCCAGTTCATCTTAAGCTTAAGTGCCAGGAGGCTGTCTGCATGAGGAGTCTCTAGTTCCTGAGAAACATCTTTCAGTCCATCAAATAATTAGGGACATTGCCCACTATAAAGTCTCTGCAGTGGCCCATATGCCCCCCAATAGCTAACAGTGACAGTCTTCATGGGGTCAGTGCTAGAGGGAAGCTTCCCACCAGGGCAAGGACAAGGCTGAGGACCTTCTATGAAGAATCAGTGTTTTCCTGCCTCTGTTCTCTCCTCCACAACCCCAATGTTATATGTGTGTGTGTGTGTGTGTGTGTGTGTGTGTGTGTGTGGTTTGTTCTTTTGGGGTTGTTTTTTTTTTTTTTGTTGACTCTTATTCCATATCCCACAGCCAGATCCCAGAGAGCAGCTGATACTGACTGCCTCAGACAATGCTCCTTAAGGATTACACTTGGGAGAGGGAAGAGATTTTGCTTCATGGATGCTGGAGCAAAAGGAAGCTGCCTTCTCACAAGGCAGAGTTCTTTGAAGAGGGAGGTGGGGAAGGCAATAAGGCAGCTGCCATATACAAGGCACTTGAATAGCTGGTGGCTCAGATGAGTGCTTGTACCCCAGGAGGTATGTTCATAGTCTAACGTAAGGCCTTCAAGATCCTGGCTCCACTCATGTCCACTTGTTCTAACCCGAGTTACAGAATCATGCTGTCCTTCTCATGATAGGGGAGTGGAGGGTAGCAGAGAGATGCCTCCAGGTACTTTGTGCCAGTTTGTCTGGTGCCTTTGCCATATGGAGAAGTCCCTGCCTCACTGCAAAACATTGTAGAAGATGTTGCCCTCACTCCTACGCCACAGACCTCAAGGGTCATGCATCATAGCCTTGCTAATCTCCTGAGCTGGCTGTTCAAAGATGCTCGATTCCACCCACCCTTTAAGCCTCAGCACAGCCTGACCCTGCCTCTAGTATTCTTCAGGCCTAGAGCTTAAAAAAAATGCTGAAGCTGTAGCCCACTGGACATCAAGGCCCAGTGTGTTCAGAGCCTAGCATAATTAAAAGATCTCTTGTCCTCACATCAGTGGGGATGAGTGGAATTAAGGGGTTCCTTGAAAAAGGGAAGGTGCCTTGTCTGGGGCATGAAATGGTCTCCTGCTGCTGGGTGAAGGGCTGATGTGTTCCTGGAGCTGGCCTGCTGCATCACCTGTGGAGTAGCCCAGCCAATTACTGTGATTGCTGAATGCTTCTTGAAGTCTCAACACTGACCTCCTTTCCTGTTGCTCTGTGGCCCCCTCCCCACAGCTTTGGAACGACGAGGTGGAAAAAGTAAGTACCTGGGCAAAAAACCCTCTCTAACCTTCTCAGAAATGCTAGTCATGCTGCCCTGGGTAGGGGAGGAGGCAAATGTAAATGATGCAGACTCATTCCCCTCTTAGGCACAGAGTGGGCAGTGAATCAACAGTGCATTGCCACTGGAAGCAGCTTGGGCTGCTGTTGGCAATGCCCTTGATTCTTTCACAGGGGAGTAGCAAGGTGGTTAAGGAACCTACCTCCTAATTGTTTCCAATCCTGGCATTGTTAGAAAGCTGTGACCCTACCTAGGCCTCTACTGGGGGAGGGGGGAGGTGGTGACCAGCAGTCCTGTAAGAGCTTTATTTTACACAAGACAGATGCATTTGAACTGCTAACACAGTTAATCTCTCCCAGCACAACCCCACCTGCAGAGTGATATGCTAAGAAGCTCATCTAGTAGTGTCTCTCCTTTCTGTTCTGGAGGAATCTGTCCTAAATAGTTCTAGACTCCCAGACAGGTATAACCAAGCAAAAGGATTTCCCATGACAACTCTAGATGCTCCTTGGGGAGCGTGGTTGGAAGAGAATTGGATGTTCTGGGTTTGGCTCAAGAGTCTTGACTTGTGAGAGGAGTGTCTGATGCAGGGGTAACACCCTGGTCAGCATGTGCTTCCCACCCCGTCAGATCCATGGAAAATGGATATCTGACTTATTCTCATGGCAGTATTGGATGATCTTTGTCCCTTTTTAGGATGAACAGCAGTGTAAATTTACACTGTAGAAAGATGGACATACCCGTATTGCATCTCTGGTCCCTCCCTGTGGATTTTGGCCAAATCCACAAATGGTATCTGAGCCTGGCATGCTCGGTGTCAGAGAGCAGGGCTAGAATAGTTTGAGACAGAGCTGTGCTGGTAGAACAAGGCAGAGAGATGCTCTACAGCTTTTTTTCCCTTTTCTTGGTATCTGTCGGTGCCACAGGTCTCTAACACGGAACTCTCATGCTAGTCTCATAGTTGTATCAAAATGCAAATTGGCTGTTCTCCACCTAGCTTCCTCTACCTTAAAACCCTGAAACCCCCAGGTAGGCATGGGGATGAGCTCTACTCGTGTGTAAGTGGTTCCTGGTGCCCCTTGTTGTTTGGGGGTGGGGGGTTAATGAGATGCTGCTGGCAGTTGGTGTTTGAAAGGGAGAGCACTGGGTGTGCAAGCTGGCTGCTGCTCAAGTGGCATAATATTTCACACAAGACTGGAAGGGACCTCCAGGGTCATCCAGTTCCCTGCTATTGCAAGCAACTAGGTTGCATAATCACCTTTCATAAACGGATCCTCTGACAACAAGCTGGTTTTGCCTTCCAGAACTCCAGCCTCTGCTGTAGCTGTTAGCCAGCTTTTTTCTAAAGACCTTTTTCAGGGAGGATATAATACATCACTGCTGATACTCCATGAGATCTTTTGTAAATCTCTCACAAAGATGTAAAAAAAACAGCTCAGTCACGCTAGCTTAAAGCAGATCTCCTTTTCAAAGGGTGCTTATTTGGAGCACTTCTAGCTCAGGCAATATCATCCAATGCAAGTCCCACTGGATAGAAGATGGTAGGACCCAGCAGTGTCTCTGCTAGCAAACAAAGCTTTTTGGGGGGTTTTTTTCCACGTAGAAAACACTGGGTTCCTTTCTGAGGATACTGCTGGCAGTTCATAGTCATAAGCCAGAAAAAATCCACTAGGGCCTTGTGTTTGTAAGAAAATGGAGTGGAATAGCTCCCTAAATAACTCCATTCCAGACTCAGTCATTTCAACCCCAGAATAATTAGTATGCTTCCAAAGTGCAAATAGACTCTTTGATACAGATTGAGCCCACACAGCTGTAATTGCACAACAGCTTTGTTCCAGGCCAGCTATGCTAGGCAGATTCCCCAAATATTGTACAATAAGTCCTAAGGCTGTTCCACCCAGCTCTGTTCAGGAGTGAAGCTTACCATAGGGACTCTTCTTGGAGGGAATGATGATATGTTAACACACCTTAGTTACCTCTAGTAGTTGGGGGAAGAGGATGCACTGAAAGCTCTGCCAGTACTCTACTGCTACCATTCAGTGCAACTATCTATTTAACAATTATTCCTACAGTACAAACCTCCCATAGTTTTATCTGCTGTCTACAAGGCCAGTTATGGCTGTTTGCATGTTGATGTTCTGGCCTCTAAATGTTGAACCCACTTCTGAATTCTCCAAACACTGGCGTTGTGGAAGGGAGGGCCTCTCTAGATGTCTTTTGCTGCAGAGTTGTCTTGGAGCTATTGTCCTCAACTTGAGCCTTGTGTTGGAAGGAACCCCTTCCATGGAGATGATGATAGCAGATGTCCCACTAAAACAACCCAGGAATGACTGGAGAGAAGTCTTCCTGCTGGTGGTTTAGTTGCTGTCTCCCCTGTGTGGCTGTGTAAGCTGGCATGGGAGAGAAGCCTTGCTCTGCCGCAGTAGTCTACCATATGCAGGCTGCCTCTGTTTGGGGGTTAGGGTACCTGCTCATTTCTTGGTGGTGCCTTCCTGGCATAGGCAATGGGATGTGGGGCAGTGGTGTGGAGTGCCTTGCATCTTGCAGGCTGTCCCTGCTCTGGTTCCCTCCAGTAGGTTGGAGGGGACTTTATCACCAAACACTGCTCTCCCCTGCTTGCAGGAGAGGGTGATGGGCTACATATGGGCATGGTGGACATGGAGGTTTGTGATCAAGCTTTCAAAAGTGGCCTCTGACTTCTGTAAATGGAGCCCAGTGTGCCTTTAGCCTTGGGTTCTTAGTTCCTGGGTGCATAAGACTCCCATGGACTCAATGGTGTTCAGCCTTCCTGCATACAAGGCTCTCTGAACTCTCAAAATGGTGGTATATGCCACTTCCCCCACTGTTGCCTGTGGAAGGGGTCCCTTGCCTGTGCTCAGCCCATTCCAGGAGAGGAAGGCAGCTTTTTTGCAGTCTAGCTCATGCTCCCTTTGTCTTGCAGGCAGAACATGAGCTTCGGGTGGCCCAGACAGAGTTTGACCGGCAGGCAGAGGTGACGCGTCTCTTGCTGGAGGGGATCAGCAGCACACATGTGAGTGACAGCAATGACTTGGGCTTCCTTCCTGAAGGACACCAGAATGATACTGAGCCTGCCTTGGGTGTGGAAGCAGGGGAGATGACATGTTGCTTGACCATATGGGGTCATAGGACTAACCAGGCCTTATGGTAAACTTGCAACTGTTCAAACATGAGATGAGTCACTTGGGGCTATAGAAGTAATGCAGAAAACCCTGCTGATGTTGAGCGCTGCTGGCATTGATGCACATGACGATGGTAGATATGCCTCTTTCTCCCCATCTTCTACAGGGGAGTATTAAAACTGTAGGGACTGTCCTTCTGGGCTCCAGCCCTTGGCTCAGTCAGATCACAAGGCAGTTTGTCAGCCACCTGCTCCTATGTGGAATCTCTCTAGATTTTTAGAGAAGTCACTGGCATAAATGCACCAGTTGAACAGTATTAATAGGAAAGATTTGACCTTCAATCTTTGTTTTCTATGTCTGTTTCTTTATGGGAGAAAGGACTGAGATTTCCACCTGTAGGGAGGAGTTTAATGTTTCTGCACCTGAACTCCTGGTCAGGCAGTAGGTGACAATTTGCCTTTTCCATTCAGGTGAATCACCTCCGCTGTCTCCATGAGTTTGCAGAATCTCAGACCAACTACTATGCTCAGTGTTACCAGTACATGTTGGACCTGCAGAAGCAGCTGGGCAGGTATGGGACAGGGTCTCCCTGCCTCTTGGAAATTTTTTTTACTTTTGTAGTCTCAGTAGTTTCCAGTTTTCCTCCACCAGCTTTGCAGTGCAAACTTCAATACTAATAGATTTAAAAAATAAGGCCCTCCATATCTTATTTTGGGAAGGGAGCTCAGTGAAGTTCTCTAATGAATACTGTCTAGGTATAGTGGGATTGGAGTGGGTTTTAACTAAGAGAACACCTTTTTAAACAGATGGGTGAATGTGAGCAGATACTGAGCCAAACCAAAACTTAATTTCTAGACATTTTAAAATCTTGTCTCAAATGAGACTTCTCATTAACATAACTCCTTCACCAGGCAAGGAGCTTTCATAGGCTGTATATACGGTCTTTGCAGTCGCTAGTTCTGCATTGTAGGTGGTGTTTGGGCCTAGAGGGTGAGTGGGAGTAATGCAGTCTGTCATTCCGGAATGACTGTTCACAATCCCTCTTGCATTTCTTTCCATGCCTGCAGCTCCAGAGGAGAAATGTAAGTAAGATGTCTTTTGAGAACAGGACCAGGAAAGCTCTTGAGCAGCTTCTCTGTGCCATTTGTGTTCTTGTATAAATGGTGGTACCTGGTTACAGTCCTTAGCCTGCAGGCTCTACTGCCTGTTCTTGGGATGGCACAGCTTGGCCTTGCAAAGGTAGCCTGCTTGGTGCACATGCTACATCCCAGCCAGGGTGCAGTTTCCCTTTGACAGAGAATGGAGGTGGGTGCTAGACAGGCCCTGCCCCCAAGACCTACTACAGCCTCTACAAATGAAGTGCGAGGGGGAAAATGGACAGACTAAACAATGCATCCAAGGTGATGCAGATCCTGAAAGACACTTCAGGAGTCTAGCGAAGGGCCCTAGCCACATCACTACACTTCACCCTTTTGCTTGACAAGTTCTTCCCTGTCCATCCACCTTGCATCTGCAGTACAGTCAATAGGGCCTTCCAGAGTTACTCGTGAACCTTCCGCAGGAGCACTAGTTTAAGTGCACTGGCAGAGATGTCCGGTGCACTATGATAGTTCCTGGTGAGCTGTCTACATGTGCTCTTGTAAACAGTGAACCTGGTCAGGTGCGAGTCACAAAGCCAGACTTCCTAGCAGCTATGAACTGTGAGCAAGCCTTTCGGAGCTACTGACCTGGTGGTCTCTGGATTGAATAAACAACATGTATTGCATGTGCGAAGTGGCAGAAGCCTTGGCTTAATCCTCTTGAGGGTAAGGGTCCGGGTGGCTTGAATGCTTCTTTCAGGGCAGTTCATCAACCAGAAATGTGACCGTGGGTCACTTCTCTTACATGGCTCTGCCTGCTTGAGAAAACTCCTGATGGAGCCTTGCTAACTTGCCTCCTTTCTCTGCCCATGCTTAAGACTTCCAGGCACCTTTGTTGGCAATGCAGAATCCACATCGCCTCCCCCAGCCACCACCTCTCCCACTACTGTTGCTGCTGCCACCATTCCTGTTGTGCCCACCATTCCTGTTGTGCCCACTGTAGTTGGGGCACCCAACCCCACTGCAGCTGCAGAGGGGACACTGAACCCGAATGAAGTCAAGCCCCCTGCCAGTGGGACACGAAAGGCCCGTGTTCTCTATGACTACGAAGCAGCAGACAGCAGTGAGCTGGCACTTCTAGCAGATGAGGTCAGTAGCCTGCCTGGAACGTTTGGCTGCTTTATTGGAACTGCAGCCCTGCCTGAGGGCTGAGTAAGGCCCTGGGCACTGGGACTGACTCTTCTGACACCGTGCTTGCATATCAAAGATGTCAAGCTTTGATGCACAGTATAAACTAGAAGTAGCTGCACTGGTGAAAGGGAAACGATCCAAATGTTTCACTGCCATAGGCCAACCCAGGTCCTATTAAAGCCAAATGATTATGTTCTTGTTCCCACTTGTCAGCATTTCTTATCCAATATTTGAATTCACTGTCAAAGGCACTCCAACAGCTGTCTTGTTTATCTCACCAAGGGGATTGGATAAGGTACTAGAGGCTGAATGGGACAGCAGCTGGTCACTGGACTACTCAAAAGGTCCTGGGAAGAAATACTGTCCAAAATCTGAGATTCCCAGTCCTCATGCTATAGGCAGCAGCAAATTTTGCTCTTTTCTGTCCTAACTTTTTAATTTCCTGAGACTTTGAGCCATGTTGGAGAGCCTTGCAGGCAATGTGGTTTAGAGATCACTTGTCAAAGTAAGCTGAGACTTTAAAAAAACAAAAAAACAAAAAAACAAAAAAACAAAAAAACAAAAAAAAAAAACAACACTCATGGGGATGTCATACATCCTCCTTGTTCTGGTGTCTTGAAAATATGTTAAGGGTTGCTGCTGACACAAACGCCCTTCCAAGTGAGCAGAACACAAAGTTGTTACAGCTAGAACTTTGCAAGTTGGGAAACTGTCCCAAGCAATGGAAAGGTCCTTGAGGATTCCCCAAGTTAAAACTTGTATCTTCTGGTGGGTAAAAGAAGACTAGAGATGTTGATGGCAAAAGTTAGTGGGAAGTCTACATACAGTGCAGGAAACAAACCATAAGTCTAGTCCTTGGCTCCCCCTGCAGTTATCTAATGTTCTGTGTCTCCCTTTTTTTTCCCTCCCCCTCTCAGATGATCACTGTGTACAGCCTGCCGGGCATGGATCCAGACTGGCTGATAGGGGAGAGGGGTAACCAGAAGGGAAAAGTTCCTGTTACCTACTTAGAACTGCTCAGTTAAATGCTGGCGGGAAGGAGATTCTACAAGCAAAATGCATCCCTCCATCTCCTAGCATTTTGAAGGCAGATTTCTTCATGAGACCATTGCTCTCTCTTCAGGGTCAAAACTCACTAACATAGGATTTGAGAAAGGCAATGAGGCTGGTGCTAAATGGTGGGTTTTTGCGGGTGGGGTGTGGGAGAAAAGGGTCACTGTCGCCTTTTCCAGGCCCCAGGACTGAATTCATTAACTACCAATGCTGCCTGTTTTGAGGGTTAGTTGTCATGGACGCATGATGTTCCTTCCCTCCCTGCCCTGGTCTTGTTTAATGCGCTGGCTTCCCAGGAGCCAGCGCTGTCTCCTTGCTCAGCAGCTGCTCGCTGGGGTGGGGATCACAGTTTCTTGTGTTCAGTAGTACCCATCTCTCCCTCTGTCCTTTTTTGTCTCTTTAGATGTTCTTCCTGAGTACTTTTTTTGCCTGGGCCAAACTTTGTGTTCTAGTGGGGACCCAAGTCCCTTTCCAAATCTACCCATGCTTAAACACTAACTGTGGTATGTTCCAACTCCAAAGAACAAACAGATTAAGAGTTTTTCTCTACAGCTGAACAAAGAACTAGTTAAGAAAACAATTCTCAATCCAAAGTACTCTTAGTCTGTGGGTAACAATGTAGGGCTTCATAGCAGCCTTGCTTGGCACTAATAGTGTCTGGCTATGACCTGGTACAGTGACCTGTGAAATGGAAAGAAAGCTTCTCGGATCAGAACAAATTAACTACCCAGGGCCCATATTGCAAGAATGAACTTTCTCAGTGCAAGGGACCATGCATCTTGCTTGCATTTCCTCCAAGAAATTAGTCTTGGGCTGGAAGGAGTTTACAAACCTTTTAAAAGAAACAAAGTAAGCTTTGCTCTGTGTTACTTGTCCAGGCTCACTTATTTTCCTTTTTGTGTGGGTTTTTTTTTTTCCAGGCCTGCTTTTTACAGGGGTGGGGGATTAGCCTGATTAGTTATTTCTTAAATATCAAATTGTTTAATTCTAATGCCTTCCTCCCCTCTAGTAGAGAACAGACCTGGTGTATCCTTATGGCATGAGGGATGTTTCACTGGCACTTCTGACCATATACCAAGCAGCAGTTAAAACTCTCTGCTTTTTTTCACCCCTACCCCATTTGCTCTCAAAGATGCCCTTGTGACTTACCTCCCACCATTCTCTGTGGTGGATTTAAAGTCCTCAATTCTGGGTGAGAAGAGCTAAGTGAAAAGATCTGGATAGTGAAACTAGTCTGTCAGTGAGCTGGGTAGAAAAGTAGCACTTGACTGCACCAAGATCTGTTCCCTACCCTACCCTTGGTATGTCTAGACACTGACTTGCTTGTTTGTTCATTGATCTTTTTGCACTCTT